GTTCTCATCTCCTTCCTTCCTGATGGCAGCTGCGTTGCCTTCAGACACGACATTTGACAAGTTGCCTTTCTTCACAAGCCGGTTCTGCAGGATGGGTGGTCCTCTTTTATTGGATAATTTCCTCTGTCAAGTGATGACAAGCATCAACCATCAGTAAATGACATCTTTACTAAAGAAAACTTTTTACCTGTTAAAGAACCAAGACACCCCCAAATCAGAGGTTAAACCGCTGCATCCTTACCCAACCTGAACTGGAGCTTATCTGACATATAACGCTTTGTTATTAAAGGAAAATGAAATGTTACAAACACATCTGCTCATTATCTGATACCTGGAAGTGTCCCAAACATGAGCAGCAAAAGCAGTCACATGAGTGCAGATATGAAGGAGCCGCAAAGGAACGATGCTGAATGGCAGACCACATAGGGTAGCAGTTAAGCTAATGTTTCTTAAAGGGTTTTTAGACGTTTTCACAAGCAACACTAAAATCTGTTAATGGCGCTTTGCTGTTAATAAGATCATATTATTCTGCCTCAGTGATTCCAGTGAAGCGGATTCATTTTCTTTGGATTAAATGTCTTGATATGGTGCGATATACAGCAACACTTTGCTGGATATCTAACCTGTGAGAGCTGCTCGGGCAGCGGCTGTTGGCCCTGTTTGAAAGGCTCCGGCAAACCGTAAGGTTTGAAGGGTCTCAGAAGGATGTTCCTCTCAGCGTCCAGCTCTCTCTCGGCAAGGCCTTGAAACAAAAATCATGAAGTAGAATTTACTGAACGGGTTAAGATAAACAATTCAAACAAAGTCAGAAAACCTATCCCTCAGTAAACGTTCCAATCATGCTCACATACAGGACAGCTTACCTGTGAGGCGTTTGGTGACCGTGGGATAGGAGGCCATTCCACAGATGAAAAGCAGGACGAGCATGAAGAGGACGAGACTCCGCTGTAGCCTGGACAGTTGCTTCCATTTCTGAAGGCACACAGGAAGGGAAAGATGAAGAACGGTGAGCATCCATGTCTATTTCAATCTCCTGGCTGAGATTGTGGAGTGGATCATTTCATCCACTAATACACTGTGGATCTGGTAGGTTTTTTCAAGGTTAAAAATGGCAGAAATAGCACCGAAAAAAGCCTTGCTTTGGCTTAGGAAACATGCACATTTCTAAGCCAAAACAATGTTATGTTTTTGGTCCATTCTATAAAGCCATTTTAAATTGAAAAAGCTTCCTGGATTAGAAACATCTTCAAACTTGGAAACAAAGTCCAGTGGATTGTTTTTTTTTTCTTTTACTTTTTTTAGAAATGACTATGACCTGGATGACTGAGAATCTTTACCAGCATATAATATGCTCTAAAGTTTTATTGATAAACATTTTATTCCTTTATGTCCAAACTGTCACATTTAAAAGCACCACTATGGAAACCGATGTTGATGTTAAAGTAGCACATAAAGTCCAGACGGACGCATGTTTGCAGATCACTGAATGTAACTGGGACAGCTTTAGTCAACATTAATTGTGTGAGCAAGAGGCTGTGTGTGTTTAGGAGGACCCAGAACAGCAGGCTTCTCACTAGTGATACGTCGGTGGAGCCCATAGAGCAAAACACTGTATCGGTGTGCTACAAGAAAGTCATGTGACCGATACAGGAGTTGTTTCTAACTGACTGATTCGCTAAACTGTGTTTAAAAACATATCCGTCAACATGCAACTTCTTACAAAAAAAAAAAAAAGTCTCATCTTTTGCAGTTTATCATTAAAATTATCAAGAAATCTGGAGCAGCCTAAAAGGAATAGAAACATTAAAGCTGTTGCGTTTTTATTTTAATCATGTCATACATTTCCTCTCAGTTATGACTCAACTTATCTGAATTAAAGTTAATTTCAAACTGACTCTTAGTTTATTTACCGTTTTTACTGCACTTATAGTTTTAAAATTATGATTTAAAACCCTAGTCCACAAGCATCCTTATTCACATTTTCCCCTAAATTTTCAAGTTATGATATATGTTTAGATTATTTTGGGTGCATATAAATAATCAAAAATATTTTCAATTTAAACATAGATATGAAATAATACAATATAACCTAAAATAACTTAAATTATACCATTGTACTAGATTATCAAATAGATTTAGTTTAGTCTGTCAAATAAGCTGCCTGTAGTGTCTTTAAATGTCCAGCAGGTGTCAGTATTCAGTAAGACAGTATCAAAGCAGCATCATCACAGTTTAGCTTAAAGATGCCTCATTAACTTATCACTACTTCTCACCCTCCAGCAGGACTGCCTCCTCCACTGTTTGTTGTTGTTGTAGCCCCCGCTCTGCGGCTCGGTGAAGGGGATGGACACGTAGTCCGGTCGGTTCGGGGCGTTCATGTCTAGAACCAAACGTTGGACACATGAGGAGTGACGGAAAATCCCCCAAAACATTAGCATATGGATCAGAGTCAGCCACTTAAAACTAAACATTATTAAAATTACAGTTTGGACCCAATTACAGATACACACTGGCCTCTAAATATATATATATAAATATAAAGTAAAAATATAAAGTGAAGAACCCTTAGCATAAAGTTAGCATAGCATAGCTAGCTTTTTTTCAGCAGTTTAACTTGTTGCGCTTAGCTAGGAGTAAACTGAATATAACAAATATTACTGTAGTATTTACATCAGCAGCAGACAAAATAATGATTGTATCCATTAAAGCTTTGTCAGCATCAGCAGCTGACAAAATGTGGACCGAAGCACAGTCCGAGGCCTTCTCCCACCGAGGGTAAACAAGGAGCTCTCTGTCAGCAGCTCAAACACCAGACCTACAGCAGTGAAACGTTACAGACCGACCGGGTTCCTGCCGATCTGACAGGGAAAGCTGCTTTGACAGAACACCGGAACAGCTCTGGGACAGACTTTACTTACCTTGACACCGAGCAGAGTCACATCAGGTGGAGGTTCAGAGGTAAACAGCCCGAAGTTGACTGGCTTTTCGGAGCCCTGCTCATGTCTGGGGCTGTTCTAAGAAGAGAAGCTAACAGCGGGTTGGAAACAGATTCATAGTGTCAAAGCGACGGTTCTCAGTGCTGACAGGATGGCATCCAGTGCAGCAGCAAAGGAAATGAAGCCATCAGACAGCGGAGGTCATGTGGGGCGTTCAATGACCTGTACAAAAAACGGAACACTCATTGACTACAGTTGAACTGGG